TCATTTGCAGAAGCCCGAGGTCTTTTCAACTGCCCTCCTTCGTCGGGCAGTTAATGAAAAACCTCGGGCTTCTGCAAATGATAATGCCCTGAAAAATAACGTTACCCTTATAATAAAGAAATTATTACATTCGCATTAGCGTCATACTGATTTCACGCCTTACAGACCCTGATACAAATATATATCAAATACAGCCCATGCAAGTCTATAATGTTTGGCAAGCCTAGATTACTGCAGTGATACAAACATATATATTTGTATTACTGCAGTAATCTTGGCGTATATATATATATATATATATATATATATATATATATATATATATATATGGCAAATCTAGATTACTGCAGTATCTGAAAATGAAGAGAGTCTCTGCATGGGCTCCCTTTTATTATATTTTTATTAAGATAATTGAACAACTTTTTTTTCTGTACGATATGCTCATTTCAGAGACTAGATACATATCGTGCAGAAAAACAGTTGTTCAATTATCCAGAGACCATATAATAGATATATGGTCTCTGAATTATCTTAATAAAAATATAATAAAACGGAGCATGTGAAAATGAAGAGAGTATCTGGCTCCCTTTTATTATATTTTTATAAAGATAATTGAACAACTGTTTTTTCTGTACGATATGTTCATTTCAGAGACTAGATGTTAGTCTAGAAACTCATGTAAGAATTCATGTATATTCAACCTCGCTCTCGCTCGGGAAATACAATAAAATCAGTATTACACCTGTCGATAAACCCGACTGTTCTTTGGCCTGTGCGACTATTTGACATATATCCATATCATATTTAGCACTTACTGCAATGCTATATTAATAATATATAATGGATGAATGGCCCATCTCGATCGCTGTGGCTCCTTTTCAATTTAGAAAGTGGTAGTCTAGAATAATAACGCTCCTACATACGGGCCTTGAATCACAGATCACAGGAATTCGCAGCTGAACCCAAATAAACGTTTTATTGAGTCGAGTATCCTAGCTACAAGCCTCGAATGTACTACAAACGGTGCAATCCATTGCGTGGATATATCACGACAGTTTTGTTAAAATTTAGATCGAACACTTGCAACACAGATTCAAATCTCCGCTTGCTATTAACATTAACACGAGCGCCTCGATTTGCCAGGCGGTTCTATGGTGTAATGGTTAGCACTTTGGACTCTGAATCCAGCGATCCGAGTTCAAATCTCGGTAGAACCTAATCTTTTTTCCCCAACAGTTTCGTGTTATTCAAATGTTTTTCATGAACTGTGTTGAAGACATGACCCTTTACGAAACATGGTCGATCTGTAAGACCAGCTCAGTGGAAATGCTGAATCCCCAAAATGCATACAGGGCCAAAGATTGTTTTCAAGCTCCACGCAGAAAACCTTTCACCGGCAGCGAAGGTGGCACGCGCTGTCACGGACCCTGAGCACTTGAGGCCCCTGACGCGCTCGACAAACTTCGCGTCGCCATTTCCTTTTCTTTCATTGGGTCAGGATGAGTCCATGTTGCTGCCCTGAAATGGATTACAAGTGTAAACCGATTTCACTATGTATAGTTGCACACCGCGCATGGTCTCAATAAACAAAACATACAAACTCTTCTAGAACAGTTACGTGCCGAGATTTACGATTGTAGTTTACAACTAGACCTTCCATCTGCGTGGAGGTTCTATGGTGTAATGGTTAGCACTTTGGACTCTGAATCCAGCGATCCGAGTTCAAATCTCGGTAGAACCTAATATTTTTTTCAATTTTTATTTATTGCAGGAGCTGTACTGAAGACATTACACACTTAACGAAACATGTTAGATAGTGAAATCAGATTAGTGGAAATGCTTGAAAAATAATTAAATTGGCCTCAGGTTTTGCAAAATAGATATAGTTGCTCCTCTTAGCAACATTCAGTCAATTCCACGAACATGTGTAAATATGTTTAAATTTCACCCAATAATGGCTAGTTTAATAAGAAATGTGTCTCTCTATCAAAATGTTTTAACAGTACACGTCACTTCGTCGGATGGAGGTGACTGTTTATCCTCTGGCGTAATATTTTGTATTCAACCTTTACACTCTTATGTTACGATAATCACACGCACGCTGTTATTTTGTTGTTTGTTTGTTGTTTAACGCCGCATTCAGCAATATTCCAGTTATATGACGGCGGTCTGTAAATAATAGAGTCTGGACTAGACAATGCAGTGATTGATATCAAGAGCATCGATATCCGCAATTGAGATGCGATGACATACATAGAGGATTCATCACGAGTGTTTTTTGATATGGGAAATATCAACCGAGTCTTAGTTAATCGGTATTTGCCGAGCCTTTGGCGAGGCAAATACCGATTAACGGGACGAGGTTGATATTTCCCATATTAAAAAACACTCGTGATGAATTCTATTTATCATTTTCACATTTTTGCTTCCAAATTAAGGAATAATTGCATTAAACATTAACATCAGCAACTTGTCGAAATCTTACGTATAGATCGTGCGTAGTGATACATGTTTTCCATAGCCATGTAAACCAAAATAAACAATTCGCTGAGAAAAAAAGTTCCTCGGATTATTTTAAACAAAATACTTGAACAGACTTTTGCAGAATAATTGAAACTTTAATAACGGTAACAACAACGATTCTGTGTAATCTGATTATATCTCTGGTGTAACTTCACTTATAATATATAGTTTCAAATCAAACCGCTCCCTCTTCCGGTTATCTAATTTGCATATCTAATTTGCATACTTATGTCATTGGGGTATGACATACATGTTTTTATGTCATAAGCTTATGTCATGGATAAATGCTTAAGTTAAATGATAAATCAACAAAGTCAACGACCCTGACCACCCGATCCCGTTAGTCGCCTCTTACGACAATCATAGACGATGTTTTTCTGCAAGCAAGGGTTGCTGAAGAACTATTCGACCCCGGTACTTACACAGGCTCTGTTATTTGTTGGGACCTATTTTTAATATAGTAGTTTGAGTTTGTAACAGTGCAGTTTATTTTGTGATGTTTTAAGTGATTAATTACTGTATTTATCTGAAAACGTAAAATCGATATCGCATTCGAGTGAAGGATCCACTATACGCCAATGACACTTTGATTTTCAGAGTAAGACGGTGAAGATGACTAAGAAAGTACATTACTAAAAAAATAAATAGAACATTGGAATTTTTCTTGTCGAATAACGTGTTTAACTCATGACATAAGAAAGTTAAAGTTGGGCGGTGGGGTAGTCTAGTGGTTAAGGTGTTTGCTCGATACGCCGAATGCTCGGGTTCGTTTCCCACACTGGTACAATGATTCATAACCATGTCTTGTGTCATTCGCCGTGATATTACTGGAATATTGCTAAAAGCGGTGTAAAACTATACTCACTCACTCTTTCTCGCCCTGCACATGCTGCCACTGGTCAATACAAGCAGACGAGTGGATGTTTTTCGAGCCCTTAACTTAAGTTAACATTTTCACTCTTGGCAGCATTACTCATGAAAATATCAACTTTTGTCACTCGAAGATATAAGCGTGTTATTTGATTAGAAAAATTATAAAATATAGGTATTTAAATGACTCTGAGTATTAATTTATGAATGCTTACACTGTAATGGCAACTAATATTTGAGACAATGTGGTGACTCAGGACGCCCCGTTATAACGCGACAACCTTTGGACTCGAACGGTGTTTGTATAGTAACATACGTTCTCGAGAGCAGACAAACAGACACTGCTTGAACGACGAATGACAAGAAGCAGTCTCATTTCTTTCTGAAACATTGATGCTGCCCTTCCAGATCTAAAACATACACCTGGGCCGCCGCTGCTGCTGCTGTTTGGCTGATGCATTTAACGGATTTACCGTTAACGCATCGTGATAGTTTTCACGAGCGTATTCGCGATATTACTACAAAGGTATGTCATACTGTTTCAGTCGTGTGAAGTTCATCTATACGTTTCATTTCTGTATCTCAAAACTTAAAGATTCTGTTTTTCGTGATTTAGCAACAAATATCATATAAAATACGTCTTGAAGGTTTGCCACAAAATATTTATGGTTTATACTGTATAAATTATTATTTATTTATATTACAGAAAGTATAAATTGACAAGGACAAGGTTATCTTTATCGGGGCTGGTAAAGTCCTTATTTTTTAAATTTTTACCACCAGGTGAACTTTGTACTTTTCGTTTTGAATGGACTTTGCTTCGTTAAACATATCGCGGAAACAGCGTCTGTTATTAATGATGTCATAATAAAGGGGAACATTCATTATGACACATCCACCAGGTTACGTCTAGATGCCACTCGCAGCAAATATGATTGAAGTTGTTCAAAGACGACTTTGATTGTCTGCTATCTTAAATGTTATAATGTGGATCAAGCTAATACTATAGTGTGGATCAAGCTAAGAGTAAAATATTAGGTACGACTATAGAATATGTTCGCCATCCAATAGTTTATCAAAGAAGGAATATAGGAATTCGCGATCCCTAGCGTTAATTGTGTTAAGGTAGTTTTACCCCCGACTCTATCCTTAGCATTTTCATCCTTGAATGAATATAATGGGGAACATGTTCTATAACGGCTCCAAATATTAATCCTTAATTTGGTCTTTAACTAAGAAACTTTTGCTGAAGGTGCTGTTTACAACGTCTAGACCTTCATTACAACGTCTAGACCTTCTATACAAGGCCTAGACCTAGACTGGAAATGGTTACCGGAACCGCGAGCCTTTAATTCAAGAACGATCGATACATAGTCATTACTGAACTTGCTGTTAAAACTGTTTTCGCGTAAATTATTATCTATCTAAAAGTTTCTCATAAAAATAATTACAATCCAAGACGAATACAAGCTGTTGTGTGATAGCAATCCATAGAAAACGAAGTCGTATTAGTTTGTATACAGTCACAGTACACGATAATGTCTTCTCAGGGCAAATATGAATTTAATAGTTTATCAGAATGATTTAATGTGGCGTGCCGTTCAATTCTGCAACGAGTTGCGCCCCTTCCAACCTTGACATTGTAGGTCAGCAATATGGCGACTGTTAACATTCTGAGAGCCTGCAGTCGAGGTAATAGCGTCTTTTTCTCGAATGCTTATATGGTCAGAGTAGTGAAATTGCACGAACAGGATAAATAAACAACCATCTTCAAAATCTAATTGTTTTCATATTCCGTAGAATTATACTTTTTGCACGAGAACATGTGTCGGTTCCGTAACACCGTGTTCAAAACTCTAAAAGTTGTTCAAGTTCTCGTACCGACTAGCCGTCATCAGCTGTTGCATTGAGACATCTTCTCTACCTTTTTATAGTAGTTACCAATAGCGAGGAATTATAGTTTATCAGTTGAACAAAGGGTGAATGTGTCTGCAAATAGAGAAAAATGAAACGCTTCCTTTATCTGACCTTTCCTAGATACCTAGCAAGCACAAGGTCATTCTCTCTGATTCATTAGCATTGTAAACATTGCCGTCGTTCTCACATACGTTTATGTAAAAGTCCTTCATATATCATGTTTATACCAACAATGGAATTCAAGAGTTTTTAAGTATCACACACTCAAGCGTTAGGATGGACTGTTTATTTCGTTTGTTTTGAATAGTGATGTCAGACGAAAGTTGGACACATTTTATTGACTGCTATTTTCCTGTTGAGCGATATGCACCAGTGTTATAAACATTGGCAAGAATGCAGTTTTCTGGGTGCAGCTTATAGAGTAGTTTTTGCTTCATTGATCTTGCGTGCCTCAATCCTTAGGGTCAATTGGGTTAAGTTAGACTGTATTACACCCAAATCTATCCTTAGCCCAATAGCACAGGCCCCTGAAGCAGGATAGTGATATTACTGAAAAACCGGAACCATATATATATAAACAGACAAGGTACATCACTCGCCATCTTGGTCGAAGTTGAAATTGGATGTATCGTTTAAGTTAAATGTAAACGTGTGAATGTCATGTTCACAAGACCTCAACCACCTCCCTCCACATACGCCCTGCATGCCGCAAACCTTCACTTTTTGCACTTTATTAGCTATATCGGGTGATTTTATCGAAAAGTTGTCTCAGTCGCAGCTGTCGGTCATGGAAGTAGACAAGAAATCTTTGCGCTCAATGGCGTTGAGTGCTGTGATTGGACCGCACACCAACCATAACAAATGCACATAGTGATATTTAGTGAGCGAGGCAGTTTTACATACAGGCATGTTTAACATGTGTTTATGGATGCTGATCATTATGAATTGAACAACTGTTTCATATAGATGATAACCAAATGATATTCAGAAATCAATTACACTGCCCCTCTCGAAGGTTTCCATATTGGCATATGAACACGAGAACTACATCAAACAACAATGATAACTCTTGTTCTACTCTATAACTCTTATTCTCTTATTCTTATAGTAATTTTAATGTAGGTGTTAAACAGCGCATGCTTATTCATGTTGGAAAAGGATTGAACCTCTCTGATACTAATATATTCTTTTGTACAAAAATATATTTAGCAAGCTATCCAACTCATTCTTTCTCAGCTGTTTATCTTTAATTTGCAAATTATTAATATTTAAATAAGATATTAAAATTAGATGAAGAAAAATGACTAGATGAAGGTGTTTTTCAGTTTTCAGTAATTCTATTTATGTACACTATTTAAGTGTACCAAATTTGACATAGTCTTTTCAATGCTTGAAATGACATTTCAAATACTCATTTGTTTCATGACTGAAGCTTTCCTTTCATGGTCAGCCTTAACAAATCGTACCCATATTTTATATGAATTAATTACAATATAATTATGAGGGTATATCATATCCACCATGTCTAGAGATATATAGAAGTATTTCTAAACATATACCAACAACATAGTTTAATATTCTAACCCGGCTGGTAATCCCATATTGCCTATGCTCATTGTAAGAATTTACGCAGGTATATGTACACATTTGTAAATAAGGAAACAACAGAGCTACCGATAAGCTGCATATTTGCGTATTTGCGTAAAATAACGTTCCACAGAGCGATCGTAGCACTAAGACAATCGTAACTCCCATACTTTAACATAGACTTACGACAATCGTAGCGCTACGATTGCTTTGTGGAACGGGACCCAGACTCTGTAACTTAGCTGATTATGTACCATCGTACCTCGACCACTTGGATCGTTGCTTACAGTACCAATGATTAATTTGCCTTGTGAAGTCTGGATTATGTATGGGGAGCCATCGTATTGGTAGACTAAGCTCATTCAAGAATAAGTTGTTTAGAAAATAAGGAAGAATTACAATCTTATTAACTAATGTAAACATATGTAGCTGAGTACAATATATGTGCTGGATATAAGTTTATAACATAAATTCTGTGTTTATATATTTAATTTTGTTTTCAAGAGAATTTTTACCTAATCCACAGAACTAAAACGTAAATATCTACTTGTTTGACTGTCAAGCATACTGGGTTTGTTAAGACGGACATGGTATTTTAATTTTTTGAATATCAAATTTTTGTAGGCACTGGTCACTGGGCTTAGACTTGTGTGAATGTAGGCATCACTGCTTGCGGTCAACTTTGTTGTCTAGTGGACACTTTCTTTTCTTTTTCACAGAATCTTTTACACCCTTTTTCTTTTACGCAGGTATATGTACACATTTGTAAATAAGGAAACAACAGAGCTACTGATAAGCTGCATATTTGCGTAAAATAACCCCCCAAAATAGTCAAAACCCAATTACTTTCAATTAACTTGCATACAGAACACATGCATTAAATGAAAAACTCAAATGTATAATACAGATTGTAAATACCCAATGATGCTTTTTCAGCATGCGAACAACGGAGCTATTTTCTGAAACACAATTACGAGCTAATTTACTTTCCGGACAAAGCCTGTATTTAGAACCTTTATATACATCTAAAACATTATTTAATTTTGAGTTAAATCTCAAAATGTTTACTCATTGGGGGAAAAAAACAAACCAATCGAGTGATGAATAGATGAGTGAAAAAATGTTGGTTACCCAATGAAAAATGTAATAACTCAACCAAAGTAGAAATCTTCAAGTAAAAACTCAATTGCTCAAAAAGTTATATGGAGCTCTGCTTGTTACCAGCTGATATTGAGGAGTGGGGGTATGTCGATCCCTTATGGGTCGGACGACCGCCGTGTTTGCTGCATGAAGGGGATTAACCTTTGATGTTGTTGTTCCCTTGAGACCTTTGCACAGTTCTTAGCTTTAGGTTCAGCAGATCATGGTCTTTTCGGTCCCCATCTTTTCACTCATACAGGGGCCACGTGTGGCCCAATTGTCCAAGGCGCTGCGATTCGCTGTGCAGAGTTGCGTCCCTTGGGCACGACAGAAACCTATGATTGTGGTTTGGAATCTCGGTTCGTCCCGATTATGTTTCTAGGTTTGTCAGCACCATACCCGTGCTCGTGGGTTTCACCAATGTGGTAAACGTCAGAGACCTGCATCACTTCGGGCTTTCCTCCCACATTAAGCTGATATAACTGGAATACTGTTAAAAGCGGCGTTAAACCCAACTCACTCACTCAAATTACACTCATATAGGTCTTCATAAACTCACAGCCTTCTACTGTGCTGCAAATTGTTTTTTGCCATCAGTGTTCCCATTTAACAGTTTTTTTATGTCATGTGACTGTCAGTCCCTGTGGACCGGCTAATAAAGTACCTTATAAATATTTTTTTGTTGAACAAAAGATTGGTGATTATGACTGAAGTATATTTTTCATGCAGTCAGCTTGTCTTTTATCATCAGGGTTTCTCGTCGAATTTTAGTGCAAGGGAATAACATTTTGCTTTGCTTTGAGGTTAAATATCTATTTTTAGATACTTAGACCAAAGTGAAATGTTGAATATGATGTTAAAAGAATTAAAAGCAGGTCGTTTTCATACATTATTTTATTTGTTCGAAGTTGGGACTGACAAAAATTGGAGGGGACTGGTAATTTTTAGAGTTGCCAGTCCACCGGGACTGAAAGTTTCAAAAGCCAGTGGTAACACTGTACCATGCTAAAGATATGTGTATATGTTTGTAAATAAGGTTGAAGTGTAATAGAATTGTTACTTCTTAGATTGAGAGAGCTGCAGAGCCTTGTGGCTCTTGTTTTATGCCATTGTTCACATTTATTATGTTGTTTTTTTCTAGGTTCACAATGCATTTTGTTTCGCTTTCAAACTGCATCGTCTCCCCTGGCAATGTCCAAGAAGACAATTGCAGTCAGTTCACAGTCGATGTCAGCCCTTGATTACTTCAGGGCAAGGAGAGGTCCCTTCACACCAGGTAACGTGTTTTCATATAAATCACTGATTGTAGATTATTATTAACATGATGAACGGTGAAACGATACACTTAGTCTGTGCACTGTGATATGTGGCCTATAAGATGATGCACAATACACAGGGGTCAGTTTAACAACAAATTTGTATATAGCATGCAGGACTTGCTCCTTTTAAAAGTTACTGGCCCTTCTCCAAACTAGCTGGCCTACAACTAAATGGTGGAGGCTGAGAAGTGGCTAAAACTGAGATAGCAGAGCCACCTAGTAGGGCTCTGAAAATTTTAGAACACCTCCCCCTGAAACACCTTTTCCTGCACTCTGAGATTAAATCCTGGCTTTCATTTTTCTCAATCTGTTGTGAATTTTAGCAAAAAAAGATGTTGTACACAACATTACAAAATGGCAGCTGGTTGTCATTCTACCAAGATAACCATCCCCCACGACATCATCCCCCTAAATATTTTGTCATCAAAATTACATGATTCATGAGTCGTGTCCAATTAAACATACATGGAGAATGGGTGTCATTTTGTCTAGACAGATGGGCCATAACATTACAGTTCAGCAAGCCTTTTGTTATTTAACTGGCCATGAGCCAACCAATCTCATTAAAATCAGATCTTAGTTCTCGCTATCGCTAAACAAAGACCTGAGGACATCCCATTACGGGTCACGTCAGAGCGACCTTTCATCCGACCAATCAATGTGTCGCTTACCAGATCATGAAAGTGACAGTCTGAATGTGTCTAATCATGCAACCTCGAAAACGTTAACACAGGGTATACTGAACAACAGTTACGGCCCGTACGACTGACTGACAAAATTATCGTCTATCTCTCGCTTCCATGGGATAAACATTTGAATGGGGGAGGTGTTGCACAGTATGTTGGAAGCACTGCCATACAATCTCAACTATATATCAGACATACCGGAATGTTCGTTTGTTCAGTTTTCAATATTTTAATCAAGAACTGTGTGAACATATTTTTCAAGCATAGTCAGAAATGGAAGTCACCATGTTGAAACGAGTGCTGTAAAGCTCGAGAAAGCTGCTTTCTAATTGGCTGATGTTGACTTCTTGTAAGTTGTTTCAGTGGTCGGTCAAATTTCGTGAAAGGTCGTTCTGACGTTTAGTGGCAGCGAGAACTGATTTTAATTTTCTCCTGTGAAATAAGCTTTTTGTCCCCAGTAGTTATGCAGAGCATATTTGAAACTCGGTCCTTACAGCAGCTGTTGTTAACAATGGTTTGTGAGTGAGTAAGGTTTTATGCCGCCTTTAGTAACATTCGAGCAATATCACGAAAGGGGACAGTGAAAAATGGGCTTCACACATTGTACCCATATGGTAAATTGAACCCAGGTCTTCGGCATGACGTGCCAACACTTTAACCGCTAGGCTTCCCCACCGACCCTATCAATGGTTAAGTGGTTCTAAATCGTATGAATCAGTCTTTTATTGACTTCACAACATAAGGAGTGGCTGTATTTGGTGACATTTTAAACTGTTGAGTACATACCAAGGTGAGCTTCAATGCCTTGGTAAACTGTGCTAGATTTGACATCTTAATAGTGTCTTGTCATACCTACAGGTGACATGGCTCTACATTAAAAACACAGATGTTCGTCTCCCAAACCATCGAGTTACTACACACGTGCAACTGTTTTGTTCCAGAGGAGAAGCGAGGCACCGGCCACATGATGATGGCATCCTCTCACTGGAAGATCGAGCGCGTAGTCATGATCTCCATGATTCCCATCATGCCGGCCTGCATCCTGTATCAGGGCGCTGCCATGGACTACGCTATCTCCACCGTCGTCTTTCTGCATGGCTACTGGTGAGAGGTTTTAGTATAGAACTCTAAGGCAGAACAGGTCCCATGCTAACTGCTAGCTGGAAGGGCAAGGTTGGCCGAAACAGCCTCAGAATTGGCAGTCTGACCTTGAAACCATGAACTGCCTTGAATTTGGTAACCACGTAAACTGTACCGCAGCCTGTGTCAAAAACATTTGAGTTTACTATCCTGAACTTGTATTTTGAAATTATTTTCAGTTGCTTTTAGTCTTAGTCTATGGACTAGTACTGGCTGATCTTACTAGGCCATAACAAATTTTACTAGACAGGGACTTCGGACTAATGGATAAAGTGAGTGCTGTAATAATATACTGTTATTACAATATTTTTGTTCTCTAATGAAGATGACATTATGTAGCCATCATTAATCACTGATTCTCTAAACATTATTGAGCAAATGGTGTAGATTTCTATTTTAATAGTGTATTCTACTGTACAAACTGAGCAATTCTGACAATGAAATAAAGTAAGAATGTCCAAATAAATATTCTTATTGGCATACAAAGTCCAAAAGGGCATACAGAATCATCTTTAAAAGTGCACTGTGGCCCACTTGAAACTTAATACATTTCTATCACTGCCCTAGATAAATACATGCATCAGCTTCTGTATGTTCAGGGGTCGCAAGTGGCCCAGTCATCAAGGCACCTTAATTGGCACCCTTGGATATGCCAGAAACCTTTGGTCATGGGTTTGAATCCCTGATTCTTCCTGATTATGTTTCTTGGTTTGTCAGCACCTTGCCTATCCTCTAGGGTTTCACCAAAGTGGTAAATGTCTGAGACCTGCATCACTTTAGGCTTTCCTGAATACTGTTCAAAGCAGCGCTAAACCCACTTCACTGGATGTTCACTGGTGATTGGTTGTAACCAGTTTGTGAATTAGTTTCCAAAGTTCACTGGAGGGCTTGTTAACAAAACTCGCAATAACTGTTTAACGAGTCAGCCTTGTGTTTATTTTAAGTTATGTATGGTATGCATAAATGCTTGCAAAATATCCAAACGTTCTGTAGTTTATTTACCTCTAAAAGAAAACATCACTAGTTGAAAAAGTATCTGCCAAATTTCTTGGCACACAACTACCAGAAACGGCCATTGTTGACTTTTGGCACTTCACGTTGAGTGGCAAGCAGTCCAATGTTTTCTTTATAATTTAATCATTTTTCACATTCGATCATAATTTTACCTGGTGAAAAGAAATCGCTCAAGTTCATTCATTTCTAAAAATTAGCAACTTTAGGTATTATTAATAATAAGCAAAAGCAATTTGAATCGTAACATTGTCGTTTGGAAGAAAGTTGTACGATCATGACGCCTTAACTGACCTGATGATTCATAGAACTAAATATGTATTGCCTAGAGTTTTCAACTCGACACTCGGGGCAGGTTTACAGAAATGTTACTTGTCACTTGTGGGCAGGCAGCTATTTCGAACTATTTCCTACACTGATAGCTGTATTTCTCCTCTCTCCTACTTCCAGGGGCATCAGTGGCGTGCTGTCTGACTACTTGGAGAAGTTCGTACCCTGGATCAAGTACCCGTGGTATCTCATCAGCATCCTCACCTTTGCAGGACTCATCAACTTCAACTACAATGACGTCGGTGTGTGTACTGCTATCAAGATGTTGTGGCAGATCTAACTTTCCTATTATTGAATTGGCTCATCATACGATTGCTTCTTGGAGGGGGACAGTTGTGTTGCCTGGAGGTCGACACGTTACTGAGGTCGACACGTTACTGGAGATGTTACTGTAGACATCCGACTAACGACTCTTTGTGATCCAGCATACACGTGCAGCCATAGAATTATTATTTTTTAAGACTTGTCCCAGAGGATTAGTGAAATCCTTAGTTCACTCGTCCTCTGAGTTTGTAGTTTGTCCTGCTTGTTTTCTGTAAGTTTTATTCAGTTCCAGGTCGTAGCAAAATTGAAGCATTGAGAACTGGTTTAAAATCATAGCCTCCAAATGCTACTAGTCTATGAGGACTAGCATCATTCAATATTTCCTTCTCAGCATAATTTTGTAGCCGTGGGTTAGGCGACTAGCGTGATTTTTGAATGCTGATGTGTTTGAGCTTTGTGATAATTTGCGTTGCAGAGAACTACACAACTTAACACGTCTATCTTTTTAGCCATGTTGCCATGGTTACAGACTATACTGACTCCATGATATGTCTTTAAATTCAAATATCTAAAAAAACCAATTATTTTTCAAAAAGGTTAGACTCAGAATATGTAGCAAAAATGGTTCCAAAGACGTGTGTATGTTTTGTATGGACACAGGTCTCATGTTACCCCAATGTAACCATGTTACCGAGCTGCATGTGTGTGGTGGATGCTCAAGTATAATGGGGATGGAGGCTCAGGGTTCGTATCAGTTACAAAACATTTTAAATTTCGGTTCCTGGTTCTTGGTTGGGAGTAAATATTTAAATGTTATTTAGATTTATGAATGAGTGAAATGCCTGTGCATTATATTATGAACCCTTCTGTCAATTCTATTATTTAAATAATAATATGTGTGTCTGTATAAATGTAACGATCAGGTGATAACAGTGCTCTGTGGTTTCACAGCGCCAAGCGTTGCATGCACCTCCAGCAGTGAGTGGTTCGAGTATTTATCCTGTAAGACCAATATGACAACCACGCTGATATATGCAATGAATATTTACTTATATATGTTTGCTTGTGTTGTTGTTATTTGAAGTCAGAGTGACTAGCAATGTCAGTGTTAAAATGTGTCATTCCAGTGTTTGTGTAGGCTTGTTTGATGAAGACGCACGCCCACTTTTGTCACATAATAAACATCTCCAGCGTTGTTACCTAAGTGTCGTGTTGTCTTCCATCTTATTTAAATCATCGCCTCCTTGGTCTAATTGAAAGAGGGGCGGTCGGATAGCCTTGTGGTTAAAGTGTTCACTCGTCAAGCTGAAGACCCGGGTTTGATTCCTGACATGGGTACAATGTGTGAAGCCCATTTCTGGTGTCCCCCGCCGTGATATTGCTGGAATATTGCTAAAAGCAGCGTAAAAGAATACTCAATCACTCACTCTAATGGTAAGAGTGTCTGCCCTGAGAGCTGAAGGTTGAAGGTTCGACCTGGGCCACGTAATACCAATAGAGGTTAAAAGATGGTACTTGTTGTTACCCTGTCTGGGGCTCGGCAATAAGGGGATAAAACAAGCGCTGCTCAGCTCGAAGTCCATATACAGTTTGCAGTATCTGAAATAACTGCCTGCCTGCGGCTGGCACATTTTCTGTTGGCCTGCATGAAATTTTTCACCCCCTGCCGGACAGATAATTTTAGGAATAGTTATGTAATAGGAGTTTTATTATAACTCCTTGTAGATTCTCAAGTAATTGTTTGCATTATTTCAACTGAATCAAGGCGTGATTTGTCTCTTGGTTTTTGCGATTTTTCACTATTTATAATGCCTGAATGCAGGCAGGTAACTTTGAAGATGTGCAGGCAACATTTATGGGTCACCTGTCAGACTGTTTTTGGATTTTAAAATTATTTCAACCACTGATACTCTCTGAGTGGGGTATCCATGTTACAACGGGGCATGGTATCTAAAACCTACATTAGCCTGGACCAGTGAAGATTCCAGGGTAGAATAGGTCTTCAGCAACCCATGCTTGCCGTAAAAGGTGACTCTGCTTGTCATAAAAGGCGACTAACGGGATCGGGTGGTCAGGCTCACTGACATGGTTTGATGCATGTCATCAATCCCAATTGCGTGGATCGATGCTCATGATATTATTCACTGGATTGTCAGATCCAGACTTGATTATTTACTGACTGCCATCATATAGCTGGAATATTGCTGAGTGCGGTGTTTAACAACAAACCAACCAACCAACGTTAATCCAGGCTAGTACAAGCACATATTGGTCTCCAGCAGCCCATGCTTGTAAGAGGTGACATGACAACCAAGCGTTCAGGCTTGGTTGAAACATGGCATCGTATCAAAATTGCATAAATTGATGCTCATGATGTCCAGCCAGTGTTTGTGGATGGTCCAGATTAGATTATTTACAGACCGTCGTCATATAGCTGGAGTATTGCTGAGTGGTGTTTAACAACAAACTGTCAGATATTCAGGCAGAGGTTTTGTTTATAATTAATAGATTTGATTTTTATGAGATTGTAAGTCATAGGTTTCTAGATGCTGCAATTACCTCTGCAGAGTTATGTCCCATAGGTGTGCCAGGATCAAATGATTGTGGGTACGAATCCTACATAGCCCTGATTGTTTCTTTGTTTGTCAGCACCATACCCATGCTTGTTTCACCAAAGTGTTAGATGTCGAAGCCTGCATCACTTCAGGTTTTCCTCCCACATGACACAATGATATAACTCAAATACTGCTCGAAGTGGCCAGACCCATGAAGATCCGGGGTAGAATAGGTCTCCAGCAACCCATGCCTGCCGTAAAAGGCGACTATGCTTGTCGAAGAGGCGACTAACAGGATCGGGTGGTCAGACTTGCTGATTTGGTTGATGCATGTCATCGATCCCAATTGTGTGGATCGATGCTCATGATATCAATCACTGGTTGTCTGGTCCAGACTCGATTATTTACAGGACGCCGTTATAAAGCTGGATTATTGCTGAGTGCGGCGTTAAACAACAAACCAACCAACCAACCAATCAAAGAGGCCAAACTCACACCCTCACTTTTTCCAAGTTTTACTGTAATAGACAACATGATAGAAGATGAATCCATATAAATATTCTTGAGGTCAAGCATCCCCCTACTTGGTGAAGTCCAAATGGTTCATGATGCATGGTTCTAGTGGTAAACTTGTAGGCATTCAGGATAAGGTGTCACTGATACAATGAAATGCTTCATATCCGTGGAGGGGGCACGGGTGGCCCAGTCGTCTAAGGCACCGCTTTTCGCTGTGCACAGTTGCGTCCCTTGGGCACGCCAGAAACCTATGATCATGGGTTCGCAATCCCGGTTCGCCCCGATTATGTTTCTAGGTTTGTCAGCACCATACCCGTGCTCGTGGGTTTCACCGAAGTGGTAAACATCCGAGACCTGCATCACTTCAGGCTTTCCTCCCACATTAAGCTGACAGCTGTGATATAACTGGAATACTGTTAAAAGCGGCATTAAACCCAACTCACTCTCTCACTCATATCGGTGGAAATTCTTTTGGTCTGCCACCAAAATGACATTGTTACCATGTGATTTTTACGATTGAAAGGCTGGGCTTAACATATGCAAACCCAAGACAATAGAACTGTTATCTTTTTAAATAATATTTTATTAAAGGCATCAGGGTTCCAGGTAATTTTTTAAGCCTTTGAGGGGGGCAAGGGTGGCCCGGTTGTCGCGATTCGCTTGCAGAGTTGCGTCCCTTGGGCACGCCAGAAACCTATGAATGTGGGTTCGAATCCCAGTTTGCCCCGGGTAGAGTAAACGTGGTAAACGTCAGAGACCTGCATCACTTCGGGCTTTCCTCCCACATTAAGCTGACACGCCGTGATATCACTGGAATACTGTTAAAAGCGGTGTTAAAACCCGTCTCACTCACTCAGTTAAATCTTTGAGTATTTATTACAAATTATCATTCATATTGAGTGTTGATATTATCCAATATATTTTTACTCCCTTGGGTCCCGTCTATTGGGTATTGTTACACCAATGGATAGATATTTATTTAAATAATAGCCACAAAACCCTTTCCATATTTATAAGAAATATCTGCTAAAAGCAGAGTCGATTGCAAGATTCCGCCTGTATCATTAGCATGTGTTGAGAATCGCTATCAATTACGAATTGACTTTCACTTTGTGCGAGTTCATTGGAGTAAGAACCTTCATAGAGTGAGGGCTGAACTGGATGAACGTTGAGAGCTTGCGAGTTTCTTAATAAAGTACGTATAGAATGTAGTGCTGCAGTTATGAAGTTTGTAAGGAACATTAAAAATTGATCTTTAAAATCTTCAGTTCCATCTGGTAAAGGTAACAATCTGTAGCAACTTGTGAGCTTGAATTCTTCAGACACATCTGATGACGAAGTCCATTTTAGTTCCGTGGGGATTCCATGGCAGAACATGTTCCCATGATGGTCATAAGGGCCTTGGGCGCACGGTCGGCCCATTCGTCTAAGGCGCCGCGATTCGCTTGCAGAGTTGCGTCCCTTGGGCACGCCAGAAACCTATGATTGTGGGTTCGAATCCCAGTTTGCCCCGGGTAAAGTAAACGTGGTAAACGTCCGAGACCTGCATCACTGCTTTCATCCCACATTAAGCTGACACGCCGTGATATAACTGGAATACTGTTAAAAGCGGTGTTAAAACCCGTCTCACTCACTCAATTAAATCTTTGGGTAATTATTACAAATTATCATTCATATTGAGTGTTGATATTATCCAATATATTTTTACTCCCTTGGGTCCCGTCTATTGGGTATTGTTACACCAATGGATAGATATTTATTTAAATAATAGCCACAAAACCCTTTCCATATTTATAAGAAATATCTGCTAAAAGCAGAGTCGATTGCAAGATTCCGCCTGTATCATTAGCATGTGTTGAGAATCGCTATCAATTACGAATTGACTTTCACTTTGTGCGAGTTCATTGGAGTAAGAACCTTCATAGAGTGAGGGCTGAACTGGATGAACGTTGAGAGCTTGCGAGTTTCTTAATAAAGTACGTATAGAATGTAGTGCTGCAGTTATTAAGTTTGTAAGGAACATTAAAAATTGATCTTTAAAATCTTCAGTTCCATCTGGTAAAGGTAACAATCTGTAGCAACTTGTGAGCTTGAATTCTTCAGACACATCTGATGACGAAGTCCATTTTAGTTCCGTGGGGATTCCGTGGCAGAAGATGTTCCCATGATGGTCATAAGAGCCGTGGGGGCACGGGTGGCCCATTCGTCTAAGGCGCCGCGATTCGCTGTGCAGAGTTGCGTCCCTTGGGCACGCCAGAAACCTATGGTTGTGGGTTCGAATCCCGGTTCGCCCCGATTATGTTTCTAGGTTTGTCAGCACCATACCGGTGCTCGTGGGTTTCACCGAAGTGGTAAACGTCTGAGACCTCCATCACTTCGGGCTTCCCTCCCACATTAAGCTGACACGCCGCGATATAACTGGAATACTGTTTAAAGCGGCGTTAAAACCAACTCACTCACTCACTCACTCACTCATAAGAGCCGTGTCAAATGGGTATCGGGTGGTTACAATTTGGCACATAGGTTATTGTGTCATTGTACCCCAACGGCATGAACCATTGTTTATGATATCAACTCAGTGTCTGCCTTCCCTAGGCTCTGTTATTTACAGCCGTATTGAAGTGTTATGATTACGACGTAAAACAAATAGATCAAATTCCCAAGGCCATAGACAAGCATAATGGCAATGTAGTTTGATTTTTGACCGTTTAACAAGTGCTGGATAGGGTATGAATTGTGCTTGGAGGCCTATACCCACATATGGCCTGCAAAGGTCTGTGGACATGTATAGTATATCAGCGTTCCCGTTTACCGGTAATGACCAGTTTTTTACCGGTAAAATTAGGTTTTGACCTGTAATTCATGTGACTGCCAGTCCATGTGAACAGGCAAATAGAGTACCTTATAAATCTTTGTTGTTGAACAAAACATCGGTGATATTCATATAAGTACCTTTTTCGAACAAAGTCAGCTTGTTTGTTACCATCAGGATTGCCCCATGTCATTTCTAGGTGAAATATCCATTTGTTGCGACTTTGTCTCGAAATATAAAAAAAAAAGAGAAACTTGTGACTGAAGTTTTGGTGAATGAAGTATAAATCTAACTAAGTTACTTCAGACATGACATCCTCGCACTGAACATAGAGTTGCCAGTCCACAAGGACTGGCAGTTTCAAAAGCCAGCGGGATCACTGCATATCTGATGTGACCACATGACAACGCAAACAGCATTAGCTCTTGCAGAAGGCGAAGCTCACACCACTTTTTGGGTGTGCAATTTCCGTTTCCAGTACAAATTACAATTTTGGTAAAAAACCATGTGACCAATCAGTGCTGTTTTATCTGCCGATGAGCACGCCAGATGGGTGAGTGGTTGAGAAAATCGATTTCGATCAGCGACCAGCCACGTATATATTGATTTACTCCCTTACGTGTTCGTGCATGGCTTCCGTAAAGAGGTTTTTTGGGAGTAACACGAGTGAAAACACACACTACTTCTCACGTTGTTTTGTTTTCAAAACTGACTTGGGTAAAGAGGGAGTGTATGCTCTTCTAGTCTGTATGACAGCGGCCTGTAAATTATCCACACAATCCAGTGAGTCACTGACTGGTACGGTGACACGCAAGCTGAGGTTTCCGTACCCCCCCCCCCCCCCCCCCCCCCCCCCGTCCGTTCCTCGTTTAATCATATAATGTAAGTTCTTCTATGTCACTACTGGGGCAACGGGTGTTCCCGAACAAATGAGTGAGTATGGTTTTACGCCGCTTTTAGCAATAATAAAAGAGGAACAGATGAGGGGACACGGTAACACGCAAACATCAAAATTACCGAGCCCGACAATCGGCCAACCTCGCCCTTCTCCGTAACCGCACGGACCTATAAAACAAGTTATACAAGTCCGTGGTAACCGCAAAGAGAAATGGCCGGTAGTGTTCACAGTCGCCTCCTACAACCAGCATAGGTTGCTCGGGGCAAATAACCGGAATCCCAACGGTATCATAAGGCAGGGGTAGAAACTAACATTTTTAGTCCACTAGTGAGTGAGTGAGTGAGTTTGATTTTACGCCGCTTTTAGAAATATTCCAGCAATATCACGGCGGGGGACACCAGAAATGGGCTTCACACATTGTACCAGTGTCAGGAATCGAACCCGGGTCTTCAGCGTGACGAGCGAAAGCTTTAACCACTGAGCTACCCGACCGCCCCTAGTCCACTAGTCCTTATAATGATAACAAGTAGCAAAAGCCTTATAAAGGGCAAATTTCTACTAGTCCTTGTGATACCTTAACCATTGGGCAGTTTGACGAGGACTACAGGACTAGTGCCAATTTCTAACGCTGTAAGGAAGAAAAACATTAAAGTCTCAAATACAGTCCTGGGGCACATCTCCTCACCGCCCCATAAAATAAATGATCAGTCCCTAAATATAAGTGTCCATGATATATCTATCTATGTACCTTTGTTTTAGTTCGTAATCAAAATTATTTTGGGAAAAACAAAAACTGTGTTCTGTTCTCCCCTGGTTGCACAACGTCTGGTAACACTGGTCAATAATTGAGTCAGACCAGAGACCTTTATTTAAGAAATAAACGACGAGTGGGAGTTGTTTATCGTACAATAAAACACAGCAGGGAGAATAAACCATGAGGTGTTAAAGTGCGATAAACAACGACCACAAATCGTTTGTTTCTTATATGAGAAATCAACATTATGTACAGCCTCTTTAATGGTGATTATATATGTGCAAACTCTTTAAATATTTACCCGTATTTTGTATCGTGAAATAAACCACACTTCGTTCTTCTGTTCATATAGATAGCTACGCGATAAATCACAAAGAACAATGACAAACGAAGTTTATTCCACGATAAAACATTGTTCTATCATGAAGTCATTTCTGGAGATTCGAACATGCGCTCGCAACTTGATGACGTCGTATAGTGGAAGACGTTATTTTTTAGAGGGATGTGTCTAGTGAGTTGTTCCCCATATACCGTATTCGACGTAAAAAGCGCCCAGGGCGCTCTCAAAAGTAGAAATAGGGGGCTCTTATTAGAATATTATTTTGGTGAAAAAACAGAGTTGAAAGATAAATTTCGTGGTTTATGCTGACAGCCTGAAATTTTTATATACGACAGATATATTTTTCCAGGATTTAATTCACCATAATTGAGGGTGCATATTACACACGAGTGCGTATTTTACACGAATAAATAGGTGTATATTGATCAATCGGAAGGGGTGCTAATTGGGATTGTTCACTAGCCAATATATTAGCAAATATCGCCGTGGGCACTTATTAGAGCGGGGCGCTTATTACGTCGAATACGGTAGATGTAGCTGGGCTGCCCAGATAATCCCAGTGACGGAACGATCGCATCGGAAAGTTGGATAATCGACGTGAGGATTCTGAGAATATGCGGTAAGTACCAATACCAAACCCATCTGTTCATAAAATGGACTTGTCCGACATATTGCCGAGGTCGGATTCTATCAAGTGAGTCATCATTAATTAAATTACGGGTAAATTTTTTTAAAGCTTGTACATTTTATCATCATCCTTAATGCATGAGGCTGTACATAATGTTGATATCTCATATAAGAAATAAACGACTCGATCGTCGTTTATTTCTTAAATATGATCTCTGGTCAGTTCAACATCCAAATTCACAGATGCAGTGATCGACAGAAGAGATGTAAAATCACCCAAGCGATTTACTCACTAATCGTTTTTTTATATCAAGTTTTAATATATATATATATCACTATTCTTAAAACAGACACGGGCAACGACACTTTCATCGCTGGCTCCAAAATACACAATGTGTGTTAAGCGCACTTAGATTGGAAGAAACAGCGCAGTACCCTTGACCTTATTCGTCGAACCCCGCCCGACCGACTTTAGTTAGATCTCGAGTTGCAGACGAACGCGTGGTTTTCGATGAGAACATTCTTTGTACCCGTCCTTCAGACACAATTTTGTCGATGATGGCTACGGGTATTGTTTGCGTGATTTTACCTTTATCAAATCAAGGAGTTTATATAAGTGTTATGTATACTCCGTGATTAAAGGATATATTGCAAACCAAACTATAAGTGTTATATTGCGATGGGCGCCGTCGTACACAGAGCTGTGTCGGTCAGGCTGTCGCTGTTGATGTTCAAAGAATCCTGACCTAGACTTGGTAAAGACTGCTAAACAAACTAACGAACAAGAGTCAGTAGGTGGTATATCCCCGTGTTTTCTCATTTGTTTCTGAGGGCAACACTAAAAAAGCCCACGTCATCAAAAATGAAAGGTAGGAAGCGGGTGTGTTTTTTCTTCAGTTATTTACCAAATCAATATCTCAAAGCAGAGACCATATACCGATATATGGTCTCTGCTCAAAGTTTTCCCGAACTTTGAAAATGGCCCTTACCTTATGTGCGCATTCGATTCCAAAATCACTTATGCGCCGTCATATATATATACAGATGCGTATATCTTATTTATGTACATTGAAAACAAAGCGCATTTATCTCTTAATTATTACTTCTTTGAGTGGCATTTAGAAGTTGGAATGGTAACTAAGACAAAATTGTTATGGATGAGATTGGTGTAGATTCTAACACCGTTATCAAGCAAATGATCCATCCATTTGGTTAATAACGGTGCTAGAATCTACACCGAAATGTCGCCCTATTGTAATAAAGAAGTTGCTCATCCATAACAATTTTGTCTTAGCTCTTAATTATTGTACATATGTTATCATACCAAACTGGCATATTCCAAACCCCATGGGAAGCAGGGTTAGCGGCCAGTAAATGGATCGGATAGTCTAACTTCGTGATTTGCTTTATTGACTTCATCGTACCTCGACGGTGTTTGACGTTGCAAATATATCAATCTCTTGTTTGTCTGGTACAAAATGCGAGGAATGACGGATTATCCGATCTTTTGCGACACTGATTCACGAGGGACAGATAATTCGCAATTCCGAGTTGCGTTTTTTTGTATTACCCTTACACATGTAGTTTTTTCTTCAGAGAAAAATAGAATAAATGGGACAACATCTATAGGATATCCGAGGCGATATCTGAACTTGATAAATAAACCTATTTTGTACATAAACTTTGTTTGTTTGTGTACACGTTTGGAATGTATAGATAACAGATTTACTTTTGAAACAAGAAACTTAGTATGAAAATCATATAAAAGAAAAACATCTTAGATCAATGAATTAATCGAAATTATCTCATCGCTGGAATGTATTATATAGTACATTGTTGGCGGGCTATATTTCAGTATGGGAGTGGCTCTAAAACGAACACACACAATAAACAGTTATCCCAACTACCAATTTAGTGACACTTTTCAATAAATATGCGAATATCTGTACTCGAGTCGAACCCAAGTCCTGAACGAAGACGCCCCCGAAACGACGGGGGAGGTAACTCGCCCCACAAAACAAATGAATATTACGAGTCGCGCGAAAGAGAAAAAGCGAGTGACAGGAGAATGTATATTCGTCGCTGACGCGGTGGATGCTTGATCAATCTACAATCAAGCCTCTTCTACATGTAGCTGTGAGTACTACTTTTCAAAGAAACCTATTATGTACTGACAGAATTGATATTCCTTTCAAGAATTGATCGCCAATCTATTAGTTTCTCTCGCCGAATTTCTCGTCGGGAACAAAATGGCTACTCTTTCCCGCATGAGGGATGGGTGATGGGGTGATCGGTGAATACCAGATTGGCCATTCAGTGACTCCATTTATGGAATAACTTGACTTGCACTACGACATGTTAGTTTCACCACTGTGACGCTGTGCGTTACCAGGAATATTGTTTGGGACAACTTTTTCAATGAGGATATAATTTGACAGATCGATCGGTCTCCCACTCAACATGCTCGAGTCCACGGCTACACGTGGAGATGTCTGGGACGCAGGAACACGATTAGGGCCTGTATTAGTACTTTTCTTAACAGCCGACAAAGGGGTATCGTAAGACATGTCGTCATATTAAATGTGTGAATTATTGTAGATCTATATAATAAATGAACAAACTCATTCCTTAGTATAATATATTAACCAGAAGATAAAACTAAATTTATTAATTTGGAAGTCCATTTGCCACATAAAAAAACCTGTTTACTATATCTGTGCAAAGACCAAAAACAACATAAGAAAGTTTATGCCCCGATAACATTGTGAAAATGAAATTGCTATCAAGACATTTTCCGGCAAAATTGTCGATTAAGAATTTGTTAAATGTCTGGCGCCATAAATTAGTTAAAACTATAATGTTGTCGTTTGATTATTATTTTGAAATTAATTAAATAACATAGCTATGTGATAAATCGCAAAGAACAATAAAGAACAAAGCGTGGTATATTTCATGATAAAACATTGTTCTATCATGACGTCATTTCTGGAGATGTGAACATGGGTGTGTAACTTGTGATGTAAATTGGACGACATTGTTATTGAGAGGGATGTGTATCGTGAGTTGTTCCCAATAGATGTAGCTGGACAAAGTAGATATACGCAATAGCGGAATCATCGCATCCAAAAGTGGGAGAGATATGACAATCTGTACTGAGGATTGTGGGAATGTGCTGGAAATACTCACCTGTGCATAAAATGGACTTGTCCGACATTGCTGAAGTCGGTTTCTATTGAGGGACTCATTATTGTTAAAAAATTTGAAGCTCGTACATTTCATCATCATCCTTAAAGAGGCTGTACATAATATTGATATCTCTTATAAGAAATAAATGTCTCCTGGTCGTTTATATAATAAAACACTGCAGGGAGATTAACAACGACCAGGAGTTGTTTATTTCTTAAGTAAATGAACAAAATCATATTCTTGCAGTCTGTGGTTTATTGCCTACATACACATATCAATAGTTCTTTAGCAACCCATGCTTACCGTAAAAGGCGACTTTGCTAGTCGTAAGAGGCGACTAATGGGATCAGGTGGTCTGACTCACTGACTTGGTTGATGCATGTCATCGTACCCCAATTGCGTGGATCGAGGCTCGTGATGTCAATCACTGGATTGTCTGGTCCAGACTTCATTGTAGTAAATCATGAATTTTAAAGTTATTATATTTGGACGAAAATCATCCTAAGAAATCGCCAATAATCATGCCCGTATTAATAGCATATTTTTATTTCTCTGACACCAAAACGTTTTTCTTATGGGTCATTTCATGCTAGCACTAAATGTATTTTTGCTGTGCCATGGCAGACATTTCCACTGGCATGTCGTTGTGAATTGAATACTGATATTTATACGCTGAAAAATGTTATTTTTGTTTGTAACTTTTAACGAATATGCAAGTAACAGAACACGCAAATATATATGTGAAGTTGAAATAATTCGAAAAGATCACTTAACTGTGTTATTGCCGGCTATCCATATTTTTAATATGTTTTCGACTGCGTTCAACGATATTTTGGATTTACAGCAGCCTATGATGTCTCTGTAACAGCAACAGAGAAAGTAAGGTTATGAAAAATATCTCATGTAATTGTAGGTTAAATAGAGAATCTCAACCAAGTGCCTTTTGATATCAAATAAATCAACCCGAGTTGATAAAAGTGGAAAGACTCCGAGGCTTGCTCAATGAGTGATTTCGGTAATTCGTTGCAAATTAGGTGTGGCGGAGTCGGAGTGTGAGAATGTTGGATTAACGGATCAACGGATCTAAATAGCACTGATATAATCGGTTTCCATCATTAGTGTCGGGATAAAGCCGATTGTTGGATTAACGAGTGTCTGATTAACAAGACTTGACTGCATGCATCTATTCTCTGACAACTGAGGTTCGTTTCAAAGCGTTGATAGCGGTAATCTGATAGTGGTTGCGCTAAATAACGGTGAGTCGATGCACGATTTCTCAGAAATTAATGTAAACAAAATTGATTGAAATATTGAATAAACTTAATAAAATTAATTAAATATATTACAATCATACATCCAGATAGGTATTGAACATGTTTTTATTACCAAATAGTGAAATAACATGATTAAATTGTGTAATTCAGTTTAGATGTTTTGACTTTTACTTTCAGTGTTATGTGCTCAGCTGGTTTTGTCATTGCCTTAGGGGAAAAACATCATGTCAGCAGACCTGTCAACCCCTCATCATGACAATGTGGGAGATTTGACTTCAAAATGGGGGAGATTTACCTCCAAAGGGGGAGATTTTTAAGATAGTGAAGATAAGATAATTTCCAACTTTTATTTTTAATAATGTTACAAAGAAAACCAAATATTTTGAAACAATAAATAATCAATAAGTTTCTTATACGTACAGCTTGCTTAATTTCCGTTTGCATTTTCCTCCTCCAAAAATAAACCCAGCACAATCTATCCATATAACTGTCGTTCAAAGATCATCTCAGCTAAACGCAAACAGATATTGAAATTTCACAATCGGTAGCTTGACCAGTTGACGACGTGTTCAATCCGCGATGTTGGTTACAAAATTCGCCAAAGAAATATCAAATGCAATTATCCTGACGCAACATCATCGCCCTTAATTTCAATAAGATACACTGGGTTTTTTCTGTCTGCGGTAGTCTGTTGACAGTCCCATTACTTCGCTTCTTAAATTTCCTAGAAATGTTCACGTTATTCCATTCCAAGAAATGTATGCCATATTTGGAAGTACTATTACGTTTTACTACAATTTATGAATGAAATGAGTCTCGTTGTCGTTGTTGACCTTTCTGACCTTGACGTGTATTAATCTCATTGGTTGACTAGTACTGTTGTATGCAAATTAGATTGCAGATCTGGGACGCAAGCAAACTATTAGCCAATCAAATCGTGTAAAATAATCACATGATACGTTCTCGCGAAATTTGATAAAGTTCTGTTTTGATATTTTCTGTGCACACAAGTCACGATGTCAGTCAAAAGGAAATTTATAAGTTTCACTTTAAACTTTGGCTTTGAAATCCTAGCTGTGAGGAAGCCTGATCGTGTAACTCATTGTTATTTCGACTACCGAATCAACCAATCACGCATAGTGTTGTTTCTGAAGACGGCGCTTGCAGGACATATTTTGTTTTCATTTCCAAGAGTTCAATGATGTAACTTTGAGGTATGTTGATGTTTTAACAAAGTTTCTGACAAATCTGACAACCAATAAAGTCATGTATAACTGGACCGGCCATATGTATCTACGTTCTTAAATTATGGAAGAATAAACACGCTAAGAACATGAAGACAACAGTTCATTTCATGAAGTGATGAATACTTGGCTGATTTTTCATTTCAAGTTCAACCCTTCAGGCACCTGTTAGGACTATCCGAGTTTTCTTAACAGTTTACATTGTTCAATCGTTCACCATATGAATTTAATTACCAGTTGATTACTGGACAAAGGCCAATCTGGGTCCCCCTGCGGGTGGCTGTGATAAGGGTCGCTAATCCGGGAGCCTACCGGACGGATCGGGACGCAAACTTCCCGTTCATTGTTTTTACTCACGGGACAATGGAGGCAATTTTTTTAAATAATGAAGAATTCTGTTTTGCGGGAGAAATAGTCCATCTTGCGGGAGACTGGGAGATTTCATCAAATTGCGGGAGTCTCCCGCAAAATGCGGGAGGGTTGACAGGTCTGTGTCAGTGTTTGCTTAGGTTGAAACATATCAGTGATATTTTTTGTGAAGCAAACAAGCAATACGTCGTGACAATCATGCCGCTTATATTAATGTTTTGGTTGACAGTACCATAAAGGGCCTTGGAAAACTGATACAAGTAATGCTACTGCATGGCTTGCATCTATATATTCCTTTTTGCAAATGTCACTTTGATAAATAACAGACCAGTTCAAATAAAAAAACACTCTTTTACATAAAGAATTTGTACATATTCGATTCTAGCGACCACAAATTCAATTCATGAAGGGATAAGGTTTGATTCACGGAATTACGCGAGTGAATCGTAACAGCCCTACTCATTACCTCCATCATTTAAAATAAATCGACCAGGAAGCTTAAAGGTCCTACTTTGGCTACCTATCTTGCTGCGATCAACTCAGTCACTCGATCAACAGTTGCTGAACTTTGAGGCTGCTCGACCACTTCATTGCTTACGGAAGAGACACTTCATTCCACTTTCCATGACAGCCACAACGGAAGTTTCCCGTACTATTATCTCATTTTGGCTTCGTGCGACCATCCTATGGGCCTACACTTCAGCTGGATTGCCTCTGCTTGTCATGTCCCATCTTCCCGAGGCAAGTGAGTTAACTGACTATAAAAGACCAGTTTCCACCCTTGACGAACTAGGCTGGTATTATGGAGTTATATTTTGGCTGGACTAACGAGTCTATGCATAGTCCAATCAAAATCGCGCATCGAAATCGAAATCCGGTTCGTAAAGTGTCATGCAGATTTCGGTCGACTGCAGGATTTGCAAAGCATGTGCACCGCTAACTCGTTGTCAGCAGATATTTTCTAAATCTTTTCATGCTTTTAATCAAGGTGCTCACGTGATTTGATGCACTTCGCAATGTAAGACTCGTTTTATCACAATATAGATCTTGACTATCAATCAGA